CCCACACTCTCCCAGAGCATCAGAACTGATGTCAGCGGCAGCTGTGGGTTTCCCATGGGCGCAGAGTTACGTTCATTATGAAGAAATGATTCAGAAGCTCGTTCTGAAATTGGTAAGCTTGAATGAGGGACAATAAAGCACCCAAATGAGAAACTGGAGACCCATATATACCTATAGAAATGAAGGCTGAAAGTCATTTATTTGCTCTGCGAATCTGGACAGAGCTCACGAAAGACCATGGAGTCAGCCTCATGCATATGAAGCTCCAAATATTCAAAGTTCCAGGACAGAAAACTGCCACCGACCCGGGGGTGGGCTTGTTCCTATCAGAGAGAACTCAGAGCTTCTTTTTTTTCCATGCTGTCTTCTTGCACCAGACAGAAGAGCCTCTAGACACACCTGCACGGCTTGTATTTTAAAGGGTAAGCAAGCAGAGAACTGTGAAATGCCATTTGCTATTAAATAATTTATTCTCTCACCCAACTCAATACACTAGGTTTGCTCTTGTGTGCACTGAAGTGTAAGAACTGAGGTCTCGCTCTGGCTATGAACTTTTTAAATGATACATTTTTGGCAGGTGAGATCTTTCTGGTCTCCCTGGAATTACTGTAGCCAAGGAATCACAACTTGTGATGGTTGTTTTTAAACAGTACGACGGGCAGCACGAAACAACTTCTAATACCAAGCGAAGGGAGTCAGCTGGCTTATCACAGTGTCGCCAGACAAGGAGACCCCAGAGCGGGCTGGACATCCCTCCCCTGCCCGGCAAGTCAATGCAAGAGGAGGTCTGACACTTCCGGACGGCTTGTTCAGTCAGCAGCAAAGGATCGTTCCCTTCACGAAACATACGAGTCTAACTCAGGGGCTTCAAAGCTGAGTCATAAACCACCTGACACGGGCTGCCGTCTCCCTAGCATACATGCAGTTGCAGGTCTAAGGATACCGGCCACTTCTCTAACAATTCACAGTAGAGACACAAAAATAACAAGTAACGTGGTGAGAAGCTACTGCCCAGAAGGAGATGGTATCTCCAGCTTTTGAAATGACGTTTCTTGTGCTTTGGAAACTACCTGTGTGCCCTAAAAAGGCGCCCTGTCTCTTTCACTGGTGCCTGATCAGAATTTCAAGTTGCAAATCCAGTTTTCTTTAGAGCCGTTCTTTCTGATACCGGGGACGACTCTACATTTTAACTGTATTTGCAATGGGAAATGCTCTCTGTCTTTTACTCCTGAACACCAACATTTCAGGAGAAAGTGTTATCAATATGAAATCTCAACTTTCTGTTAATTATTTTAATAACAAGGGCAACTAAGGAAGTTATTTTATAAAGCAAAAGAGAGTAAACATGTAATATGAGGTAAACATATTTTTAAACGCCCACAACAAAAATGAGATGTGTTAATATTTTCAGCATCAACTTCTGGTCTGGAAAGGTCCGAGCCATGTCCGAAAGCAAGGAAGGATTTATATGGTACCCTTCCCACGGCGCCTTGGAAAGAGCCAGCTATGGGGTTTATCAGAATCTTGTCTATAACCAGTTTCTCACCTGGTTTCTTTGGTTTCTCTACTCCTTCATTCGACAAATAGCTGTTGGGAGCGATCTATACCCACCGCAACATTCCAGGAGTTGCGGGAGCCACAAAGATAATTACACAATTTGCATCCTTTTAGGAGATACTTCCACATTTCATTCTGTACTCACAGTCATACTGTGATGTAATAATGGTAAACCAAAGTCCATACTAAGACAAAAAGTAATAAAATGAAAACATGTAAGGTAAGTAATCTCAGCTAATTTTCTTTTAAAATTTCTTTGGTAGAGCCTACAACTGTACTTTTATTGGTGGGCAAGTTTATCGATCTCAGGTCCTCTTCTATCTGTTTCTATCCTCCAGAGCTTTAATCTCAAGGCTTTTTAGACACTAGGCTAGCTAGAAAGCCGGACACGTACTGATGGGACTCTGGGCTGAAAAGTTTAATATCTCTTTGCAAGGTATTTGTGCAGAAAGATGATTACAGAGCATGTATCAGCTCTAGGGACTAGTGTCATGAAAGTCATAGAAAACAGTTGTTTACCAGTTGTGAAGAGTGGTTTGTTTTTTCCATAATCTCCTTGTGGTTTTGATTAAACTCTGACCATTGTCAAACCTCTCATATCCCTTCTTTATGAAAGTACCAAGGACCTTATAAGGTTTAAATTAGACACGGAGGCCTATGGGGATGCGAAGGGACATATTCCAGACACGTCCTAGGGTTCTGGGAGCTGGCAGCTCACTAACAACAACGAACACCAAGGAAGCCTGGCAGGGAGTCCGAGGCCCCCTTGCCTCTGCCAGGGTCCTCACGTCCAGTCACACGCCCGGGTCAGCGTATAATGAGCAGAAAGCCTTGTTGTCAAGGCTCTGATGAGCACAGGTGGGGGCTGAGTTTATCCACCGACAATCTGACTTGGACAGAAAGGTGCCACCCCGTCAGAACACAGAGAGTGCTTCGGAAGGGGCTGCCCGATTATGACCCTCCCCATCTTTTTTTTTACACACTTCCTTCTGAATGTGTTTTAAAGTTTCTCACACTTAGAAGAGGTGGGCCCTTGCTCATTCACAGCTGGATGATAAGAATGTCTGGAAAGGAAAAAAAATGATCATTTGTCATTCTGATACGCTGATTCTGAATGACTTAGGTTAAGTGCTCCATTTTGTTTCTGTCTCATATGGTAATACACTGTTTTGCAAAATGCATAAATGTTTCTTGGACATTTTTAAATCATGTTCTTGCTGCAGGCATCGAGAGGAGAATGAACAAAAACACTACTTTTTAAAAGCAATATTTCTGTTACTTTGATTAGAAAAGTTATTTTTCAAGTACTATAAACCACTATATTCTGAAATTATAGCAAACATATGTATATATGTGTGTGTATGTACATAATTATGAGGTTTACATTTGGTGAAATTTTTCAATAGTGCTCTTTGGAATGGTTGCCTTTACTATAATTTATCTAGATATAAGAGTTAATAGATATACTTTAAATACGGTGTGTAATGAAGTTGTACTAGCGAAAATATGATTGTGATTTATTTCAATTAACTAAAAACTTTCATTCTTGGAAACAATGCTTGCTCATTATACACACAAGATGGAAACTACCAACTCAACCTCTGCCTTGGCCGCCATGCGGATTCTTCACTAAGTCTGAAATTCTGGGAGGATGTTTATTACGAGAGAAATGTATCTTCCTTGGGTACCATAACTTTAAAAAAGTAAAAATTCTAAGTTTTACACTATTTCACATCAACTCCACCAGTGGAGTATACCCATTTCTTGACTTTTCCAAACTTGATTAAAACCCACTGTCAGTCATGAGTGAAGCCCTGTATCTGTTACAGAAGTTCATGTGTCCATAGGAACCCATGTGATGAACTTCTGTGTCCTGTCAATCCCCAGGAACAAGTAAGAACACACTCAAAAACAGCCCACAGGGCAGAGTTTGAGTCCTAGATTGTACCAAAAACTTACGTCTTTATTTCTTCCCCTGGCTTTTAACTAAATTGAAACCCTACCAACGCTGCCCTCATTCCCTGAAGACACCATCAGAGCAGCTCTCCTGCCCGGTCTCATCTGATGGCAGTACTTTTACTGGACTCTTTGTTTTTGCCTCTTTGGCAATACGGTCTGCCATCACTTTGAAAACAGTGCAAAGGAAGTGCTTTCCATTCACTTCCAATTTATTCCTTTCCTATTGCGATCCTAAAATGAGTGAAAGGAATGTTAAGAACAGAATTTTAATGTAATTCAACTGAAAAGGTTTGTTCCTCTGACAAAATCATGCTGCTGGGTAACATTCATTTTATTAAAAAGGAATCTGTCAAAAAAGAAAAGCAATTCAAGCTACAGGAGAACTAACCCTAACGTGCAAGATCCATTCCAGAAACGTTGTATGGAAAATATTTGTATATTGGATCACTTTTTTCCTACGGACTTTTATTATAACTTTAGAGGTGGGCTCCCACAGAAAGCACTTTTGCTCCAGCATTTCGTTGTACAAGTCACACTAAGGAACTCAACATTTATTTCGAGGACTGTTTTGCCTTGGTCAACATGCCATCTCTGTATATCTAATTTCCCCTACGGTTTGTGCGATGTTCGTGAAGTGAACAAACAATCGAAAACGATTTTACACAGTCACAAAACAAGACTGTTCAAAGAGTGCATTGCCGGGGTCACGACTCCGCAAATTTAGTAGAACAGCCCGGCTGGATATGCCTTCCACTTTTTCATATGCTTTTACAGGCACCAGCTATTTCTGATTTGCACGTAGTGGTAAGGTTCTTTTAAGTGGTGTTTAGATGCTCCCAGATCTGATTATAAAAAGTGAAGCCCTTGTATTTGATAAGAATAACATTTGTGGTATTGATGGAGTCAGCCACATTCATTGTCAATGTTCTGAAAGTTTCGTTTCAGTGACAGCTTCCAACATGGTCAGCTTTATAGCACACGGGCAATTAGAAACCACCAAAGTTTATGCCTAAAACCAAGGCTGCAATCTGTTTCCCGAAAGATTTGCAGCTAACACTTTAGGTCTGTATGAAGCAAAATGTTCACCCTTACACACAGGCAGATTCACCGCGACAGGCATGAAACTGAGGCTTCAGGCTTCGTACTGGCCCGGGTCCCTCCCAAGGCCCTGAGTCTAATTTCATCTTTTTTTTTTTCCCAGAAAAAAGGATCCCCAAGTTACAGAAACTCCAGGACCCCCCCAAACCCTTGCCTTAAGATGAGACTATAATTATTTTATTTAAATATTTTTTGGGGGGCAGGTAATTAGGTTTATTTACTTACCTATTTTAATGGAGGTGCTGGGGCTTGAACTCACGACCTCGTGCACCCTAGGCACGCACTCAACCGCTGAGCGCTACCCTCCCCCTGCTACTATTATTATTTTAGATTCCACTACTATATCACGGTGTTTTATAATCAGAGTAGAATTTTGATATACTTACTCAAAAAATGTTGTCCATCCAGTTTCATCGCTTTTGGTGGCTAAGAGGCCGCTATTGCCGTGGTAAGTAAACAAAACTAATTCCACCCCTTGTGCAGTCATGCTTTTCAAACATCCGTTTGTTCCTATGGTCAGCCATATCACTTGGTTATCCGGAGACACCACCCGAACTGGCATCCGGTTCGGGTCCCGTCTGATCCGGAGGGTGTTGCCGTTGCTGTCGGTCACGGCGGTAATGTCATTATCGTTGCTGTAGCTGAAGTTGTACAGGTAATCGCCGGTGACCAGGCTGACAGTGTGCTGGTGAGTGCCATTGATGTCAAAGATGTAGAGCTCTTGGTCAGTCGGAGAGGCGACCTCGTAAAAGTTCATGGAGTTAAGTGAAGGCTTGTTCTTCGACACGGCCCGGATCCGAATGTTCCCCAGGTCTGCGATGTACAGGGTGCCATCTGGAGAGGCGGCGAGGGAGGACGGAGCGCTCAGTTTGGCATCTTTGGCGTAGCCGTCTCCGCTCTGGTAGCAGTCACAATTGGCGTCATTTTTGCAGTCACACTCCGAAGGGATCCCGGCCACCAGGGAGATCTCCCCATCTGTCGTGACCTGCCTTATCCGGTTGATTTTCTTCTCGTCGGTTTCGGTGATGTAGAGGACCCCGCTGTAGGACACGGCAATGGCGGTGGCCGACTCCAGTGTTGTCTGAACCGCGTGCTTCCCCGCAGAATATTCCACTCCTGGCACCTGGCAGTGCATGGGGCGTCCCGCAGCGATGCGCACCTGACGGTTTTCCGTAATCTGTAAAACTACATTATTATCCAGGACATAAATGGAGTTATCCATGGGGTTAATGGCGAGGTCAGTGGGCCATTCCAGACGTACCTTAATAGAAAAGAAATGGTCTGGTCAGTTAGTTATTGCGCCCTGCAGTTAATTTGCCAGAAGAGTACATTAGGCCATTTGGGGAAATTATCGTTACTTTGATAAACTGTTTTAAAATTGGTTTTAAAGTAGAGACAGTCAGGCTTAAATGAGTGGGGATAAAGGTAGGGAATAACATTTTACTTAAAAATGCAGCTCATTGGAAGATTTGCAAGTTATAGACAAACAGCAAATGAACCTCTAAGTAGTGAGTCAACAAATACTGATGAAATATGAACACACTGGTTCCTCTTAGCAGTGACAATCACCAGGTTATGAAGATGTTACTGTTCTACTGTGTTTTCAATCAGGCCAACTGTAAAGTTTCTAATTCTAAATCTAAGTCCCGAGGACCTATCATATTAGGTTCTCTCTACTTCTCAAGGACCTCATGCAATCCAAGGATTAGAGATTTAAGCTGTTTTGCTCTTTTTGGAATATCTGCATGCTGCTACTTTACTGGCATTTCATTACACATGATGAGCATCTCTCAGTGATTATCATTCTGTATCTCATTGAGTTCTTCAAATGCAGAACTGGAGAAGAAAATAAGTTTTTATTAGCTCCCAAGACACATTTGCAGGGCACGGTTTTAGCAGGACTGCTGCCATCCAGGGCACATGCGGTGTCATGTGGCACCGTCACAGTCTCCTGACCCGGGAAATCAAGTCCCTTGGAAGAAAAACAAACAATTTTGCTGAACGTTTTCCCCACCTGGCTGATGTGCATGCTAGTGTCACACGTTAAAGGTCTGGCTGAAGTCAGATCGTTAGAGCCCAGGAGAGTTGAAATGATTCCATTTTGATCAACTTTTCTGATCATGGTTCCATCAACAAAGTAGATTAATCCATTCTTGTCGATCGCCATTCCTTTATCCAAGAGAAGGAACCGTTACCCATCTTTCAAAAATGATTAATTTCAATTAAACCTGTAGGCTTCTCACTAAACTCCACGTGTAACCCCAGTGACAACACGGTCGACGCGTAGCAGGTAGGACTACAGATGGCAAACACATCAGGAAAAACCCAACACAGCCATTTAGGTTACAAATAAATGTAACATGCAAGAAAGAACCGAAATTTGTAAGGATCTCTACTTGAGAGTATGACTCACATAGGCAGTACCAGTGTTTTAAATATAAAATGATAATGTCTGTCTAATGTTGTTGTCTATAAATTATAGAAACAGGTCACATTCTGTTGCACTGAACTGAAAGTAACTATATTCTAACAAAAATAGAGCTAAGCCAAGGGGAGTGCTTTGTTGACCTTGTTACAACGAAATTTGCTAGAATAAATAATTCAGCACGACAAATACTTTTCTCCAGTCCTTGCTCACATAATAGTCGCTAGCTGTAATGAAAAAAAAAAAAAGCCTCAAACCAAAAAACATTGTCTCGAAAGGCATGATACATGAGGAAGGCAGTTAGTCCCGATTGGTTTAAAAGCTAGAAACCTTCATCACGTAGAATTTTAGCCCTTGTGACCTTCAGAAATTCCTCACAGCAAGCATTTTTTTCCCACGGCATAGAAACAAAAGTTTAATAGCTCCAAACCGGGTGAGCACTAATAGGGTTGCCTAGTGATGGTTTTCAAAGAGGCCCGGGACTCATTCACAACAAAGAAATTTCAGAACAATGAAAGAATTTGGATACTTTCTTGACACTGAACAGGATGTGACCTGAATGATACAGAGTGGTTGCTTTACTCTTCAGAAAGCTGAAAATGTGGTATGATGATTAAAAAAATGCCAAGAACCTAATATTTACTGTAAAATCAACTTAGGATTCTAGTTGTTTCATGCTAAATGGCTTTTAAAAACCCTAGATGTGAAACAGCTTTCCAGGAGGCAGTTGAGGGTAACATGTTTTTAGACTCAGCATTAAACACAATCAGGCACTGACTGGATTTTCCACCTTTTTTTTTTTTTTCTTAATAAAAGGAAATCATCCAGTTGATACATTCCAGTACCTTTGGGACTCATGAGTGTTGCTTCCACAGCCTTCCCTCCATCCCCACATCTGGCTTCATCAAAGGGAAGGCACTGTTCTCCTGTCCCTGCAACCACTTCGGCATTTTTAGTCAAGTCTTTGGCACCGGTGAGGGACTTCGGGCGATAAATCCGGCGGGTGTTAGTGTCAGAAACATACAAATCTCCTGTGACTGGATCGGTTGCGAGGTAGTATCTATGAGCTGGGTTGCTGCTATTAAAAAAAAAAAGGAATCAAACAGAAGCATCATGAGACAGTTACTCCTAAGACACAGAAATTTAAAGTGAAATGAAACAGATCGCGAGAAACTGATTATAAACTGAGATCCCGCATCAATGACTGGAAAATGAACAGCAGGTTGAAGAATGACTTACAAGAATTGGTGGCAATCTCTGACATGACTGTCTTCCTTCCTTGTCTGTTTCTGAGGATTTAACAATTTCTTAAACAGCCATCTTAAAGATAACTACCTTTACAAGGCTAGCCTAAAACAAAGAAGCAAGTTCTCTAAATCTTTTCGGTTCAAGGCAAAACTATTAATAAATAGCCCTTGAGTGACAAAGTTTATTCCAGGGGAAGGGTGTCTCTACCAAACGCTTCAGCGAAGGACAACACACTGGTGATTTACTTGCATCTCATCTTAGGGAAATCTCATTTTCTTGTGCAATCAAACTAGAAACACCTGGCTCGGAAAATGAAAAACAAAAAAACCCAAAAAACAAAACAGGGCTGTGTGCCTAGATTGCTCTACTGCAATCCAGAAAGCTAATCTGATGCCATTACAAGGTCTGTCCTGAGCTGTGGGGTTAAATACGAAAATGAGGCTATTTGAGTGTAGGAGACAGTCTCGGTCTGTTGCTCCAGTCAGAATAGCTGCTGACTATGTAGCTGCTCTAAAACCTATGAATTTGGAGAGATACAGATATTTGTTCACAATACACAGTGCTTAATTTTATAAACACAGACTAATGCAAATGTAGAATATTTGAAGTCTACCTGTAAAAATAGGAAGATCAACCCTATCAGGGAATGGACAAATTACAACAGATGGCTGAAATTAAAAGTCGATCTCCTTACACACATTTAACACCACATTCTTGGAATCAATGTAATTTTGTACTACGTGCAAACATCGTCTTATGAAAAAAGAATTCTCAAAAGAATTTAAATGATTTGGTGTCTCGACAAAGATGTCAACAGGTGGGAATTCCACTAGATTCCGCAAGTCTTCTGATGACAAGCTTGGTTTTAATGATTTGTTCTCATTCTCTCACTCATTCCAAACACACACACACACGCACACACACAACTATATGAGTGTTCCCATTTATTTTATATGTGGATATTTAAAATATATAGTGTAAACTTAACTAAATGAAAATATTCTAAATAATGGTGTAGTAGCTTTCTCATTACTAGTTAGGTTCTATTTTATTATTATTATTATTTTGCAGGGGGAGGTCATTAGGTTTATTTATTTATTTCCTTGTTGATGGAGGTACGGGTGAATGAACCCAGGACCTCGTTCTTGCCAAGCATGTGCTCTACCACTGGGCTAGTCTCACTACTGAAAGCTCTTCCTTTTAAGTGGCGAATACACGTACTTGATCGCTCCTGTAAGTCTACCATGAAAGTCACAGTTCTAGGGTCCACTGTGTCTCTAATGTTGGCAGAGGGGACAGCTGGCCACACATGGGGTCTGCAGAGACCCTCCGGGGCTCTGGAAAGCTCTGTGGTGGTGACGTTGGTAAAGAAACACCGAGACACACAAAGGCCTGAATGCCTTCAGATTCTGGGTCTCCTTTCCAGCCTTTTAACATCTTTTAGTGACAAGAGACCAATGAGAGCAAGGGGTCTTGAGTGTGGAAATATGAGTAAAAGTGGAAAAGGGTGCAAAGTGATAAGAAGAACTTACACAGAGAGGCAAGTCATTTGACACAAAGCACTTCAGAACTACTGGCTTATACCTGATGATCGACTGCCGTGCTCAGTGTCACTGTGTCTTTTGATGCCTGACACTTTAAATGCAGCAAGACATATTGTGTTCCCTACTGTGGTACTTCGTAATGAAGTAAAAAGCTACATATCAATATAATATTCAGAGCAATTTATAGAGGTTTCTCCCCCTACAGACAGTCTGGTAGTGGCAGAGCTGATCTTCCAGGTACACAGAGCTGGTGACAGAGTTGCAGCTCGATCTGCAATTCAATCGAGATGATCTATTTTGGAAGACAAGACACTGGAGAGACTTCTCTAGTCTTTCTTATCTCCCTGATTACATACTAATCATGGATAATTGTAGAGTTGGTTATAAATACATACACACACATTTTATTTCCTTGCCAGTTGTTTTTCTATGAGTGTGACCTCTGGACCAGAGGGTCTGGATTTGAACACTAGCTTTGTCCTAACTGTGTGACCCTGGGCCAGTTATCTCTTTTATCTGTGCCTCCGATTCCTTATCTGTAAAGGTGATAATAGGACGGATTTCATATGATGCTGAGAGGATAACATCAACTAACACAAGTAAAATCCTTAGAACAATGCCCAGCACATAATATGTGCTCAGTAAACGTTAGCTAGTCCTAATACTGGCTTTTGTCCTGTCTCCTCTTATATCGCCATGACTTTTGCCTTGTCACTCCATCCAGTGTAGGAGAGTCATCGTTACTGGTGACTAACTAAAACATGACTCACCTTCTGAACATGAAAATAAGGAAAAATGATCATCTAAACTTGGATAGGTCCACACTTGTTTCCTTGGTCCTGGTGTTATAACATCTGAGACTATTAAAACAATGCAGATCTTGCTGAAAAATATCTATTTTGAGTTGTTTCTATAGCAATGATGACAAAGGTAAATGAATAGGGGCTACTTTTTTATGATGTCCCTCATTTTGAGGAAAAAAACAAGCCAACAGCTGTTGGAGATGGCTGCTAAGCAGTGGCATGCTCCTTAGCTGTAGGACATAAGGTTTCTTGGCGCAAAAATAATACTTTCAAGTCCTAAGCTTTTCCTTCACTGGCGTCACTTTTATTCCAAAGTGACAGTAAAAAGTGAAGGTCCAAGGGTGCTTTCTCCTTGATCTTTCCATCCCGAAGCTTCTCCTTTCCTTCAAGACACAGAAATTTCTAAACCAAGCAATAGCCGTCAATGGCTTTAAAAATGGCCACCAAATTAAGGCTCTGCTTTTGCACAGAACTCTACTGGCCAGAAGAACAAATGCAGAGGAGGACGTGGCCCTGGAAAAAGAGAATTCCCCTCTGGAAATACTCCCCACAGGATGGTGGGAGATCAGAGCCAGATCCATCCCCTGCAGTGAAGCCCGATGTGACAAAGCAGAGCTGCTCCTGAGATTCCAGCCTCCCCTACAGGGCAAAAGGGATGCGTACCGAAACACTAAAATTAAAAAACAAAAAACCCCTCAGTTTGGAAGCTTTGAGTTGACAGGCCGGAGGCAAGAAGCTCTGAGCCGCGTGTGTGAATGGGCCTGGGGTTCGAGGACACCTAAGGTAAGCACAGAGTTTTCTGATGGGGTGCGGGGAATGGGGGGAGGCTCTGGTTCTTGCTCTTCCAACTTCCTGAAAAGCCACAGCTGGAGAGGCTGGGGAGGTGGTACAAACGGGCGATACGCTTTTAGACCTGTAATGCATCTCCTGTGAAACCGTGAGGCCATGTTGACTGAAGACAGTCCGCTGCTGGCAGCCGGGGTGCAGGAACCTACAAAGTGCACGGCTTGGGGGAATCTCAGTTCAGCAGCAGGGGCACAAAACAGCCTTCTTGTATGACTGAGATTTTCATTTCAGAAATGTTTAAGATAACGTTGAGCTTTTGACTAATAGTAGCAAAATCAAAGACGCTGAGATCAAGTTAAGGACCTTGATTATACTGCGCCTTGATTCTTCACTCATCCTAAATTGCCCAGATTATCACAATTACTGAGCCGTCTTCTGTCTGCCTTACTCAGTTAGACACAGATCCGGCGGTCAACGCAGACTAGATCTACTCATTTATTTTGTCATAATTCAACCTTCATAAACTAGAGAAATACGTATATGGAATAGATATCATTAGCACTTTTAATCTTTCTAGTTGGAAACTGTACCACCGCCCTTAAAACACAGAGTGTTTGAAGGAGCACAAGTAATACTTCTGTATAAAATTAAACCATCCATTTTCTGGCTAACAAAAGACTGTTCAGACTATTGCAAGTAAGGCTCCAGGACGTGGTGTTTTTGCCTGCTTAATTTCTATGTGTTAAGTCAATGAGAAGTGCTGAATCCAGTTTTTACAATGTTGGATCTAAACTTTAATTGATTCAACTGCACAGACCTGTGATTGACACTTTCTTTGATCTTTTAATTGGTGATATAAAATTCACAAAGTTGATTTTAAACCTACATGTTTAAACGGCCCTTGGCTGGTTTTAGTTAATTGACTGAATTTCCTTTATTTTGGAATTTTAAAGAATTGGAACAGGGATGAGCTACAATTTATTGCTACAAAAGGGGTTTGTTAGCAAGCTAGTACTATAAACATCATAGGGGAAAATGTTTAGCGGATGTAAAAAACTTATTTTTTAAGCATTTCAGAAGCTCCCATTTATGTAAAACATTTAATATATCAGGTAGCATTTGCATTTATTTGTTAAATTATAGCTAGAGAACTTGATTTGATATAACATCTTGGCAGTACTTTTAAAATGTGGTGTGACAGAACACTCTGAATTTAAAAATAATGACTTGTTTTTATACTTATTATTCAATGTTTTTAATTAATTATTTCCCCCATTAGTCCAATTAATGAGACTATTACTTGGGCAGGAAACATAGGAAGAAGACCAGAATCACGCATTTCTCTGTTTTATTTAATCCTTGACAACTGACTTCACTGTTCATTTTTATAGCTTTAGGCATTTTTTTTCAGTTTCTTTTTCTTCCTATCACCTGCTCCTAAGCCTTTAATGGCTTCAGTGTAACCAGGAAAGTGGGGATAAGGAGAAATCCAGGCAGGATCCTATTAGCTGGTACAGGGAAGATGGTATATACAGGTCAGTAAATAGGAAGAAGCATCAGAAAAGAATTTTAATTTTTTAAGTGAAATGAAGACACTCTGATGGGCTGAAAAAGCTTGGTTTTGTAAAGTCAATTGTGATGAATTAGTCACTCAGCAAATGGAATCCTTATTTCTGTCAATGATTTTGTCATCTGTTTGATGATTTGGACTCAAAAGCCTTGGACATTTCTTGTGTCTTCCTCATTTGCATCATCCATATGTAGTGTGCCCATTCTCTGCCTTCCTTTATTTTATTGATCGATTTCCTTCATGGCTACCCAGACTATTTTAGGTACCGAGCATCTCATGATTTCACGTAACATCTTTCTAACTGATCTTCAAGCCACCCTGAACACTGATCTCCCAGATTCATCTTCCTAAAAGGCCACTTAGAGATGCCGCTGTCTTGTTCCAGATCAGAGAATGGTTCCTCACTGCCTCTTATTTTGTAGGATAGGAGCGAACCCCTTAGACCCATCAAGGTCCTGAGCAATCTGACCCCAAACTCCCTTTCTACCTGTCTCTCTGGAATAGGCCTGGGGGAAGGCAAAAGGGGGGTTTGGTTCAGTATTTTTATTTAAAAAATTTTTATTTCTCATTTTATGTTTTTAGCTTTAGAGACTCCAGAAGCGGTATTTTTGCTTTTCATGCCTAGGTTTTTTTTTAAACTTAAAAAAAAAAAATCCTTCCGCTGGTAAAATCATTTTCATCATCATAAAAATCAGATTCGTGGTGTTCATGTTTTATTTTAATGTTTTAGAAACATTTTAATTTGTTTTTTTCTCCAAGTCTGCCAGTCTCTGAAATTAGAACACAGGCAGCATGAGATGATCATGCCTCATCACGCTGTGATTCTGACTTCTCAGGGGAGTGGAATGTTCTGCCCCCACAAGAAGTTTTTACACTTTATAGACCTGTCTCTCTAATTGCCCAGTGTACTGAAACTCATATTAAATTCCACATATTTTTGTGGTAAGTCTTCTGAAAAAAAAAACAACAAACCAATATGAAACATTAAAATGTATTAAAATGCCCCCCCAAGCCATTTTAATTTAATTAATTTAAATTTTTACTAACATGGTAATTTTGGTATCACCAAAATTGTAAGTTTGAAGTAGACGGGTTCCTCTTAGAACATGTCTCGCTCATCTCTTTTGAGCAAGTACCTTGACTTGCTCTGAATTCTTTCTTCATGCCTGCCTTCCTTTCTTCTTCTTGTTCTGTTTAAGCAGACTTCATGCTTAGACCTGTGACATATATCAGTCCTTCCAGGAAACTTTTCCTTACCACGCTCCCATCTCCCAGTAATCTTCTTCCACAGTGTCACACTTGCAGTGTGAGCCACGGATACGACTGCGTCAAGGAATGGTACCTATGATGCTACTTAGTCGGTTACACGTGTATCTCGTTTTCCCTACTGGAGTGTGACTTCCGAAAGCCTGGACTTTGTCTCTTATCACTATTCGTAGGGCCTAGCACGTGGTAAGTCATCAGCTAACACTGATTTAATAAAGATGCATATCAATTAAAAACCCAAACCAGTGTATTTTACATGCATGGTGCACAAAAGGAAATGCAGGAGCCCAAATGCAGCCAGGGTAATGTTCAGAGATGAGGTCCAGAGCAGGATCATGAGAGAGAGATCACAGTGAGCATCACCGCCAGACATCACGAGTTAGTACGGAATGAGTTCATGGCATAAAGTATTGTTAATAGTAATGCAGCTCTAACCTCACAGATTTTTGTTTCCAGAGAAAGAGATTATAGTTCCAAGTAATTTGTCAAATGATTGCGAAATAAATCCAGCTTTCACAACCCAGGGAATGATCCCACAGAAACCTAACCATTTGGACAGATGAAAACGGGCTGTGCGGTGGAGGGAAAGAACACGCACTTTACAGTGGTTCACATCTCCGCTCCCCATTTCTTAGTTACGTATCTAGGGGAAGATACGGCACGTCCTGGAGCCTCGATCAATGCACGCGTGGCCCTGAAGGACTGCCGTGTGGATCTGGGGTCCCGTGGATCGTCTGGAACCGCGCCTGGCATGCAACAGCCCAGCTTGTTAAAAGGTGGCTGCTGTGACCGTTCTGCCTGCACTGCCTCCAGCGTTTTTGTGCTTCGTTGGTGTGCACACCAGTTTGCCTTTTCTCCGCAGTTACCAAGAAGGCAAAGCCAGAACAATTGTGATATTCTGCTGTGGTTTCTGAAAGCAGAGCTTTGCACGCTCAGTAGTCTGGAGAAATCCTGTGTTAATGTTAGCACGTGGCTGAGCTATCAGTGAGAGCGTGAGTTCCACCGGGGGTTTTAGGAAAAGGTCTGGGGACCATGCCTGACCTGACGGATGGGCAACTGCTACACATCTTTCAGCACAACTTGGTCTTTTATCTCCTAGCTGTCAGTCTCTACATGGCAGTGCGTCATGTGGACGTATTCATCGTAAGGGTCTCACATCAACTACTGCTAATTTTTCCATCCAGTATCATTTTATCAGATATTCCAATGGCCAAACTAGATTTAGCATGTCCAAATGTGTCTTGCTTTCTGCTAGCTTTACTTTAAAACATTTTTTCTCCCTTTTTGGCTGTCCTGAGGGAAGTTTTCAGTCCAAAGTGCCTATAAACAGACTTGCCTTCCACCTTCTCCAGCTTGGTGGACAGAGCAGATAGGCTCTGAAAACCTTCTGGGCCAATATTTGCTTCAACCATGTTCATTCTTAGCTTTGAAGAAAGTCTTTTCCTCCCTAACAATGTTAATGGAAACACTGCTTCTTAAAACGCAAATCTAGTAATTCTCTCAACCTAAACAAAATATACAGTTTCAATGGGTTTTAAATACACAGTTTAAATGACCGCAGTGATGAATTTACCAGGCAGTCAAAGCATAAGTTTTAGGGCCCCCTCACTTGTCTGGGTTCCTTCCAAGGCCAGTGAGGGCCCTGGCAGCATGTTCACACGATCTTATGTTTTAAAGAATTTGCTGAAGTAAAATGTTTTTTGATTCTCTTTTTTTAAAACAGAGTCCCTCAAATTGAATAAGCTTTGGGTCCAATAAACCAGGATCTGCCCTGGCTACCAGTCAAACTAAACTCTCCTTGAATTCTCCCAACTGTGCGTCAAATTTTGTTCAGTTCAATACAACGGAGAGTAACTGAAATGTACAGATTTTTTTGTTATACAGAGATGTTCATTATAATATTTTTTGTGACAAAATTTACTTTACTAGCCAATTTGAAAATATTTTTCAAATTACATTGCCCAGTATGATTTGCAATATATTATGCAGTAATAGTTCCTTTGAGCAGTTTTAATTCCTTAGATGCTCTGTGATACTGAGTTTCCTCTCTCATGATGAAAGGTTCTTAGAAAGTGTCAAGAGAGTCACAGTGAAACATAAAAGGTGAAATGTATTTGAAAATACACAATAACTTTTAAGCAGGATGCTTACCTATGTCTAAAATCTTTATTTCTTGGTGGAAGCAGATTAAAAAAAGGTAGAAAAAAAGCATAGTTAGAAAAGGTTTCTAAAACATAAGGAGTTGAATCCTGAGATTTTAATTACTTTATGGAAAATTGCCAGCAGAAATAACACTGGAAATGAATTTTGTAGGTGAAGGCTTATCGAATAATTTACAGAATAGGATGATTTTGATCATCACACGTAAATGGACACAGCAAAAACAACCACTTGTGACTTTAACCACTGGCGTTATGGCTAATGGATTAATCCAACTTGAAGACCCAATATTCTGGTTGAAAGTTATAGACTTCGTTTATTATTCTGTCTTAATATTCTAGGAAAATATTTCATGCCTTCATTTCAACCACTGTGAAATAAAAGAGTAACAACCTATATCACAAGGTTATTCTAAAGGTGACTAAAGGGGTTTCAGAATCACAGCTCCATCCCACTGGCGTGTAGAAAATTTGCTGGAATCAGGGGGACATTTTCTCCACCAAGTGACCTGACACTCTTTCAGACATTTGTGGCACAGTAGATACGTGCTTTGCTTTTCCTACCTTTAACCAAGAAATTTAACTTCTTTCTAAAGAGAATGTTCAACACTGGAAAGGTACGTTTAAGCAAATTAGTACACTTGTTTCAACATTTCAAAAATAAAGGTATGTTGAGCTTTGATCAAAATCCCAAATCGAGGAAAGACGTACCTTAGTTCTAAAACGCTTGTGACGTTTCCAGAAGGGAAGATCCGCCGAACGTAGTTGAAATCCCCCACGTACAGACTGCCGTCAATGCCACACGCCAAGGCCACCGGGGCCAACAGCTTATTCCCATCGGCTTGGCCGTTGCAGCTCGGGCACGAGATGCTGCGTCTGCGCCCGTTGCCCATGATGCTGCTGACGACCGGAGGCTGCTGGGAGATAAACTGGTTTTCCCCGTTCCCCTTGTACAGTATGCCTGGAAGACACGAAACGCATTTTTCTTTCGATAGAAGGAGGAAAGACGAAGAGTAAACATGTTCACGATAGAAACCACAGGTCAGTGCCTTTTAGATTCCGACTGGGAAAACTTTTATGGAAGGTTCTATTGGAAAGACCTCCATTCAATGACTTAGTGTAAAATATATGACGAGATACCTAAGATATATCAAAAATGCTGCCTGTTATGGATTTAAGGCAGGTCTGGTGAAAGAAACAAGGACAAACAAGAAAAATTAAAACAGCAAATTCTCAGTGTCAGTGATTCTCAAAGTTGGCTACACACTGGAACTGACAGGGCAGCTGTAAAAATACGGATGCTGGGCTCTCACGCCGAGGGATTCTGATTTAATGGGTCTGGGGTGCAGCCTCGGTACTGAGATTTTAAAAGACTCTCCACATGATCCTGACATGCAACCAAGTTTGAGAACCCTCTCTACACAATGTTCTTCAGAGACCAGCACGTTTGTTTAGTTGTTAAATGATGTTGAAAATATTACATATTAATGCAACTTAAAAAATTTGCACCATAAATACAAATTTCTTCTTTATGAGTTTATAATTGAGTTTTTAAAAGTTAAATATACTTTATGGGAAACAAAGTTAGGAAATATATATCAAACCTCCAATATACTACCAAACTGTCAAAGAAGATTCTTCTTGCTTGTGCTTCAGTCTGATTTGGGAATGCATGTACACGCAGTTATTCAAAATTTCACACATTACAACATTGGGAAGGATGGTTTATTATTCAAAGTGAATTCTGCTTTTAGACATTAAAGTGCCAATCATTTTAAGAAGACAGAATGCCAGTCTGCTCCATGTTGGTCTTCAATGAAAATCAGAGAAAAATTCTCAATAAATATTAAGTATTTTTATAGTTAGAAACTAGATTTGAGTTGAGACTCCAGTTTTCCCCTTTTACTGTTATTGTACATAGATCACTGGTTCCATTTTGGTCTGATGTAACTGGATGGTCAACTGTTATTGTTCTATACAAATTTCAAGACACACCTCAGTGTGTTATCTGTACACCACCTGCTGCTTATACTCTTAAACAGATACACTGTTAAAAGAAGCAAACCCATGAAAATACAAACAAGAAACTTGAGAACGTGGTTTTTTTTCTCCCACTTTGAAGTAATTTTAAACTGAAGAAGAGATCAGAATAATTATGTTCCTCTCAGAGCTCAGCACATTTTAGGTGGATTCTGTGATTACTTCTAATGCTTTGCCATTTGGGTGATGTCACAATCATAGCAAATTTACAGAAAGAAATCAGGACCAATAAAACAGGTTTATTCAAATTTAAGGAAAAATAATCTAAATAAGGCTAGGTCCTAACAACAGACGAAAGGCATTCTGCTTTGAATATTCAAAGCATACATTAGGGATAACCTAAGATCTTTCTTTCTGTGATTACGTTGTTTGACAATTATGGAGCTATAATTTCCTAGAAAATCCAGTTCTGTAATTTTCACCAGGACAATCCTACAAGTCAGGCTCCTGCTCCACTGTGTCTGATTTATTCAGTCATTACTTTGAACGATTGGTCCTTCATGAGTCTCCTCTATTATGACAGAATAGAAAGATGAACATTAGAATATTTATTTCCATGTTCCAGGATGCCTGCACAAACACCTGTCACTGTCTACATTTTTGCCTTCTCTTCTTCCTTAATATATTTCCATAGCCCATCCACCTTGTCACGGTTACAAATCACTTTGTTTATTCAATTAGACACATGTCACTTTGAAAAGTCACTTCTTGTCAAACTGTTCTTGGGTAAAATTTGAAATCACAATTGGTTCACTCTGTGAATTAGGTTACCTTGCATATTAAAATATGTATTTTAACATATACGTGTATATTTTTTTTTTTTACTTTTTACAGAGGTACAAAATAATATATATTTTATAACATTTTTGGAGGACAGAACTTTGGGTAGTCCAGTTTTTACATCTGACCTGATATTTTAATAAAAGTTAATTATATATTATTCTCTGGTAGAATGTGTGAGTATTTTTATTACATAGACACACACACAGAATATCTATGAGTTTCTTAATCCCCCTGAACACTAGACTGAGTGTTGAACTGCACAGGTGTGGACTTTCCCGAAGCTCTTTGCTCAGTGTCTCCCTACTGGTTCATAATCTCTGGGGGGAAATCCTGGGGTTCACTGGTTACGAATTTTACCTTACAGTCGTATAATAACTAAAATATATGTGGAGAGGTTACCCCCCAGTTCTTTTGGTAAAGAACTTCTGAAGGAATATACCAATATGTCAAACCACGTGAAATGTAATTTTAGAGAATTGAATCAAGAGCAGCTTCGTGCATGGTTGGCATGTGGGTATGCATTCTGAAAGGTCATGATCAAGCCACGTGTCGCTAACATAACAGACTGAGACGACCACTACTGATGATCAGATAACACAGACAGCCTCCTCCTTGGGCAGGAGCCCCACTTTTCCAAGGCGTGTGCTGCACGTGGCTCTGCTGGTTATCACTCCTGCTCCCAACCTTCGGGGGTGCAAACCGAAGTAAACCTGACATCCAGGAAGGACATAATTGGACAGGGAGTAGAACTTAGCACTGCTATCAAATAGAAAAGGTGTGAAGGGTTTTCCGCATTTTTTTTTCCCCTTCATTACTGATTTGCTCAGTATGATTCTCTTCTGGAGGTAAGGCACCAGCATTTTCAATCCCTGGCTTGGAAACCACTTTTGATTTAGTTCATTTGGAAGTTTAAAATGTATTCTCTACAACTCCAAAAAACTTTTTTTTTAACAGAAAGAATCAATAACAAAGCAACATGAATCTGAAAAAAAATGATCATTAATCATAAATATTTAATCGTATTCCATGCTCAGTTCAACATTCTGAATCTTCCAAAAACCTCTGCTAAGACAAAAGCTAGATTATTTTGATAAGGCTGTGAAATCTTCTCTGGCTGTTTGTAAGAGGAGAGAAGACAGTGACTAGCACGGTGTGGTTTAGGAAGGGAGGCTAGACAAGTTCCCTTAAGAGTCTACTTTTCTAGCAAAGTATCTGAGATGTAGCCAGCTTGTGGGTAAAATCTCAGAAACCCAGTGAAGACAACCAAATATGTTTCGTGTAAATAATATCTTTTATGAGATTAAGCTGGTCACGTTTTGCAAGTAACTTATTTCTTTTGGTTTGTTAAGATTTGACATATTTTATCTCAGAGCATATTCACTTGTGAGGTCTACTACAAGTAATACCCCTGATTCTTGCTTTTTCCCCTCAGATTAGTCATTTATTTTTTTCCCTAACATTTCCACAACCAAACAACTGTATGCGTCGTGCAGTCAGAGCGGGAGAATTTTTTCCCCTCAAATACAGCGTATGAAGAACTGAAAAAATAAACCCAGATACTCAAAACAGACTACATCCTTAAGGACTAAGGATTAAGGATTAAGATCTGTGAGAGGCATTTTGGAAGAGTCATTCGGATTTTTAGTTTTTATTTATTAAAAACAAAACCAAAAACAAACCCTCCCTCTATTTTTTGTAAACATCTCAAAAGCACTTTTTTTCCCCTAGTGGAGGTGCTGGGGATGAAACCTAGGGCCTTGTGCCTGTGAGGCACGCACTCTACCACTAAGCTATACCCTCTCTGCCTAGAGCGCTTTGGATCAGCTCACTGACTTCTGGTGAAACCAGAAACTCCTCGGTGGATCCCTAGGGAAGATGCCGGCACAAAGTCCTTTCAACGCAGCACCAAGGACGGTCGCTTACATTTGAATGGGAAAACTATGTTGCGACGAACATTGTGAAGTGTGTTACATGGTTCCCACTTTTAGGCTTTCATCGTCTTTAAAAACATACATTCATTTTTCTACTAATTCTGATCTTACAGCTGCAATTTAATCGGTTTGAAGGTGAGCAATATTATGCATCTGTGAACAAGGTCTTACCATTTTGAACATCCAACACGTGATGCTTATTTAATGTCCAACCACCCATGTTGGAAGCATCTAATTCGTAGCCTTGCAAGACGGCGGTCCTTTTCTCCCACAGAGTCAGGTCCAAACACGACTCGTATTCGTATCCAACCGACACTGGAATCAAAACAAGTCACGGCTCATGTTCCCAACAACAGGCAGAAATGCAATTTATGATTTTGATAAAACTGTCTTTTTTCATAGATGTGCTCTGAGACTCTATTTCCACTTATTTATGAACAGAAGTCTATTTTTTATATGAGAAGACTTGATCATATAAAAGGTGTTTTTCTAAAAAATGATCTCCAAATATTATTTTTGTACTGACGGTAGGAAACTAGCGGTTTTTACCACATCACTTTTTCGCAAGGGGTTCACAGCACAAAATGAAGTCTGGATCGGGCAACTGGGTAAGTAATCAGATCAGATAAATTAGCCCCAAATGGTGATGAGATGATAACATCTAAAAATAGTATCTGCTACCTGAATAATTAGAGATGTTTAGTTTCCAAGAATATTCAGTTATGGAAAATATTTATAATAAGGAAGGTTCAAGAGAACAAAAAGATAGCCAGGGTATAACATAATAGTCACATGTGATTATCAGGAATGAAAAATAAAACTAGTATTAGTTAATATGAACAAATCACAAATGAAAAACTCCAGCGTTCACAATGAAATATGGATTTTAATTAAAACCTACAACAAAGTGAAGGGAGAAGTGGCAATTATCTGACCGGTTTGAACTAATTCTAGTTAAAATCATGCATTAATGTCAGAATAAAATGTCTATTATATTTTCAGGTAAAAGCTAATAGAGCAAAACACATGTTATCTCTCAGCTTTTGATGTTCTGAGCCGGAGCTTGATGCTGTACTACGCACATCTCAGTATGTTGCATTTTGATTGCATAGTCCAGTCATGCAGTGAAATGACTAGTTGGATGGATGTTTTAAGAATATCTTTCAATTGAACTGACCAGTCCTTCTAGTCCAAAGAGCTGCAGTAATTTTGGGACACAAATATTGTCTGATATTATGTTAAGATATCCTTATGAGCTAAAACTATATTAGATGTTAGGTCCTGAAAACATAAAAACGAATATGGAAAGCTAAGGAGGTAAAGTTATAAAGAAAAGAAGAAAATGGAAAAAGGAAGGGACACAATAAGGGGGAAAAAAATCCGTGGAAAAAAAAAGATATGACCACCTGAAATCACATTCAGAACATTCTTCCAAGACACAATTTCAGCCAGAAAAATGGATACTTTCTCCATCTCATCATTTGGGATACAGTCCTTTTTCCCATGGTAGATCTGAACCAACCAACTTATAACTTTCCTAGGCAATCTTACTGCCTTCCTCTCTGTGTATGCATTGATTTCCAGGGGTTAAAAATTAATTTTATGTTAGTTCTGACTTCAAGACAATTTTCTTTTGGTGCAGAATATATATTTACGTGGAACTTACCAACAGCTTCCGATAGCCCATAGACCTTTTGATTATATGCATCTGTTTTATCCCATATGAAAGTATAGGCCAGGTTGGGTGAGGCGGGGAACCACTTCTGAAAGAGTCTTCCCACGACAGCTACCATGAGATGAACCTTCATTAAATTAAACGGTATAACGGACTGGGTCATGGTGATCTTGAGTACTGACTTGTATCCTGCAGCTCTGGAACTCAGGTAGGAAAGTTTCAAATCTGTTCCTGGAATTGTAGTTTCTTCATGAAGCACCTAGGTTTGAACAGAGAAGAAGCTTCACACTCTGATCACAAGGACTGTTGAGTAAAATCCATTGAAAAGGATGAAGCAGAACCACCAAGACACTGAAGAGTCCTTTTTCACAAATATGCTTTTGAGATGTCATCTTGGTCAATAATTAAAAATAACTCTGTTGCCAGCCCAACTTTTCTCCTCCTAAAAGCTTCTTGTCATTTATTCTGAGTTAATCACAGCTCAGACGCTACTTCTCACACAGGAAGTGCTGTGACCCGTCCATCCAGCTGACATGCACGGACTTGTATCGTCACGGTGGGTTCTCACTAATCCCCCTTTCACCCCCATCACCCTGGAGAATTAAAGCAGACATCTGTAGCATGGTTAGCTCGGAACAGGGATGTGGTTCCGGCCAAAGACCTGGCTCACGCCAGCTGGCTCATTTAGAGATTAAACCTGTGTCTCAGGCCTCATCAACTGACTGGTCACAGCCTATCAAGACAGGAACGACAAAACAGACCAATTCATTTGGGTTAAATTGTAGCAAACTCCACATTCATGTTGAAAGGTAATGAAACAATAGCACAGTCTAATAATTAGTTAAAACACTGAGCTGGGACTCACCATTGATTTTTGATATGATGGCACATGAGCTAGTATTTTCACGTTGCATAAATTTCCCCCCAGAGAACAACTAATGTGTTGTTGAGTGAACAGAAAAGACACTTTCTGAATTAAAACTGGACTGTAAACAGTTCATATGATTACCTGCATAGGAGTGATCTCTTTTACAGCTTTTTAAAAATTGTATTTTTAACCCTACAATGTACCGATCAATGTGACTAGCTCCACGAATGCCAACAAATTTACCCTGACGTAGGCAAAATATATTACGCCAAAACATTAATTATTTTAGAAAATATATGTTCTATGGCATAGAAAATCTATCCAAACAATTCAGAGTCCACTTACTAAAGCTATCAGTTTGGTTACTGATTATAGCTCCTCACAGACTTACTACACACACTGTAAAGTGCAAGGCTATTGATGTTGAAGAACCTGTCCCAGGAACTCACCGCTTTCTCTACTGAGAGTTAGACAGCATCTCAAAGGCTTCCTCAGATTGCCCTATCAATATTCATTATTCACACTTAAAGGACTACCTTCCCATGTTTAGAAAAATCTCAGAATAGCGGCTCAGTGTTCAGCAGCGTTTCTCCTCCCCACAGCTCCTCTCGCCTGAGACAGTTAGGTATTATGTACATCTGTAATCTCCCAATTTTAATAACTTCAGTAGAGCCCCTGCTACTGAGGTGGTAGCTGCACAGCTTCAATATAAACAATCACATAGTTGGGAGCAGCACAAAAGAAAGGGCTGAACAAACTTCCAGCCCGGCCCGTGAGTCAGTGTTGGCATGAAGAGGGGTGTGAGGCAACACGGGAGCTAGAGAAGGCATTGTGTGCTGTAACAGAGACATCAGTTTGCTACAGTTGGCGTTTTCCTTACCAAACACGCCGACTGAATGCAGATACACACTGTCTTAAAACAGTTTTATGAACATATAGAAGCTTTCTAGAACTCAGACTCCGGGAAACCGTAACATGTAAGATTGACAGCACTTCTGCAGGACTGCAGCGTACAGGGTGAGTCATCTGAACAGAATGCACTGTTCTCTATCATTGGGGTGAAAAACCAATGGGCTACTTTGAAAAATAGATTCTTTGACTCTTGAGCGGCCCTAAAAATAGAAGGCGTATAATTTATTTCCTCTTGATTTATTTTCAAAATAATTTCACCTAAATTTGACAGGTTTTCTATATGAAAGGCAGCCTTTCATTAATTAATAGTTCTGCGATCTTCCAGGAGTCGCTTCTCTATTTCAAAATATCACATTTATTCCTAATTTTAATAACGCATCACTGTCTCTGTCATCATTAGCCCACTTCCATGGAATAAATATCTGTAATTCAGTTCATTAAAATATGTGTTTCTTCAGGTAATTTAACTTGACCATGTTATTTTGCATTAGTGGGAAAAGTAAATCTAGCCAGAACAGAAAAAAAAAACCCAAAAAACCCCAAGCCATTAAGCCTATTTTTGCCAGTTGCATGATCCATAAGCTCCGTTCTTGAGGTTAAACCATTCAGTTAGGAACCACGTCCTGCCAAGTCTGCCTCCCAGATCTCTGTCTTAATCTGTTTCCTCTTCTCCATTTCCACTGCCGTTGTGACTGGTGGGCCCTCTCCATCCGAGCACTGGATCTCGATGGAAATACAGTGCAAACTAGCCTGTTCACTGATTTGTCTCCTTCTATCATTTCTGCATTTCATCACTTGAGTTAGCTTTAGAGAAAGGCTGAACAGTCTTTACTGGCTCCCTGGTTCCATACTGCCTAAAGAACTCAAGGTCTCCACTGTATGCTGATTCATAGCCTGGCCCTAGCCTTTCCCCTTGAGCTCCCTACCTGTAAATTCCTCACCAGTTTTTACACAACAGCGCTTGCTTTTACCACCGTGCGGTGTTCACGCGTTTTCTTCAATCTGGAATATCCTTTCCCCTCTTAAAGGCCAACTTCTTCAGTGATGCTTTCCTTGGCTTCCTTAGAAACTGATCTCTCTTTTGAATTTCCACACTCTTCATTCAAATCTTTATCACATTTAGAATGGCAGGATCCAAGTCTCATTACTCGTTTTACCCTGGTAGAATACCTTGTGCATTCTGTGTTCTCAGTAAATTTTTACTAAAATGTTTGCTGACCATACGATGGAATGGAAAAAATACCCTTTATGTATTCATGGAACTGACTATTTGAAACCCATTTCAGTGACCTGGTTCGCTAGAAATTTGCCACTTAGAAACAGACACCGCTTCTAGGCTAAAAATCTACTGGCTAAGAAGTTCAGAGTCAGAGGCAGACGGACCCTGGGGCTGGAGGGAAGCATCACACTGGACAAGGCTACGATGATTTTCTGAAAGCTTCGGCTCAGAGTCTGCTGGACTGTTACGCAGTAAATCACTGAGGCATCTCTTCTGCGTCCTATTTGCCCGGGATCATGCTCCGTATCTGTTATCTTACAGCTTCTGATCTCTGCCTAGACTCCCTCCCAATGAGATCTCACTCTCTGCTTTAAG